TTAAATATGTCAGGAAAGTTTGATTTCAACAAGAGTAGTGAAAAAGAAAGGACCAAAAACGTCTGGCACAACTAAAATATGATTCTGGAATAAAAAACGTATGCAATGTTTCATAATAAGGGAATCTAGAAGAACAAAGAGAAAAAAGTATAAATTATTTGACAAAATAATATTTAACAATTTCGTGAAAAACCTACATTAACATTTCATTTTTGGATGCAAAAATGTCAAAAAGAACTCTTTAAAAGCACTCAGTGTGTCAAAAATTTCAGATTATAGATTTTTAAAATATTTATCTTTCTAAAATTTCCAATTCAGGACCTTTCGAGTGATATAACATCTAGGCTAATTAATTAATTAAAAGTATATCAAAATGACTTTTGCAAATGAATCAGCTATCTTGCCACGTCCTTTTTTGACAGATAATAGTGAAATATTACACTTTTAAATCTGGGAAGTAGTTGTAAGGGCAATATATTTTTTCATTTAACAATGCACACTTAACTGTATAATAACTGCAAGTTTAACTGCCAGTTTATTTACCTCCTTTTGGAGCAAAGTATGTAAATTTTATAAAATCAGTGTGATTTTAATTTTTTTTTTAAATTTAGAATCTGGGTGAAAATTCTTTGAGGAGTATAGGGGAAAAAATTTTCTTCGAAATTTTTTGCTTAAGCTTTATATTTCAAATAATGCAGAACTTGTTTTTTGAGGTAAAGGGAAACTCACCGAAAACGTGGTTCTTGCAAAAATTATCCCAACAAAATTATTTCAGTAGCTTGAAAATGAGAAAAGATGTTACACATCATTTAATAGTGCACTGATTGCACCCAACACATGCTGCAAAGGTAATAATTGTTAAAATACTGAAAATGTAATTACCTGCTTTTTCATTAAAACAATAGTAGAAAAAATTGGTATCAACCCGGCATTAAAAAGGAGTTTGTGGGAGAAATGAAGAATATTTCAACTTTCAGTACATTTTGCATAATAACTTATGCCCCTTTTTTTCCTAAAGGCAAAATTTAGTCCGAAAATTACTGTTTTCTAAAATTTGAATTTCAAAAATTGTGCAAATTTACAGTATGATGTACTCAATGTTTCTTATATATATTTGTGTATACTGAAGTGAAATTTTTTAAACATTCTTAAGGCATTTAGATAGAAAGCAGATATCATAACAAAAAACGACAATTTTCAAAAAAAAATCATAGTGATTTTATGTAAAAGTACGTTTTGAAAAATATCACTTCAGTATTAATATAAATGTTTATTTATTGTACACATAAGTTTTTATTCTTTTGTACTCAATAGTTTTTCAATAAAAGTTATCTGATTATAAATCGAATCTGTACTGCTTTTTGTCGTTCAACTCCATGTTTAAAAACATAAAATCAGTTTTATTTTGGCTGTTTAAGAAATCATTTGTACAGTTTAGAAACATTTTTGAAATTAAAAGTTTAGAAACTGTGTTTAAATCCTCACATACAAAATCCTGATGGAAACTCTCGAAATATCGTAAAATAATGTATTCTGAAATGCAGTAAAAAAACTCATAAACAATCCATATTTGTACATTTTCCACATTATATTTATGATAATTTATGTTCAACTTTTATGTTTGTATTGCATCGAAGCTAAAATTCTTCAAAAATTGATACAGAATTTCAGAAAATTCATATAAGTATTACAAAATATCTCGTTAAACAAAAAATGAAAAATTCTATGTATGTATTTCTTGGCCATTTTAAGACTTTTTTGTATCCTATTTTACTTAAAAATTTAAGAATATGCTAATGTATAATAAAATTGAATAATAATGCATGTTTAAATTCATAATTTTAGTGATAAAGTGACACTTTATAGTAAAAATGTATTTTTTTTAAAAAAGGTATTTTAAAAATGCGTGTACCTTTTTCTCAGAATCTATTTTAGGAATGTACCTGCAAATTTACTGCATTCTACTGATATGTAACTATGTACTGAAGTGAGCCGTTTTAGATATTCCCAAAATATTTTGCTAAAAAGCAGTTATCGTATGAAAAAATGACAATTTTCAAAAAATGCATAGTAATTTTTTTACTTGTGACGGGGCTATTCGCGAGATATTTTCACCAATCCTCTTGGGGAAACTTTGGGGCTAGCATTTATACTAATTCACAGCCTTTCAAGAAAAACACGAGATAGATATATGTTAATTAGTTCGACTATTTAAAGTCTAGGTTTTGTAGATGTAAGGAGAGAAGGAGCCGTGAAGCTGTCAAGTAAGTTGAACACGAGTATTTACTTTACAAACCTAGCGTGTGTATATATGGTAATTGCTGAGATTAAATTATTAGATTGAAGATTTAAGATAGTAGATTCAGAATCGGCCTGAGGTTCATTAGTGATTGTTCTCCTTATCTATTTCTGGTAGTCGGGTTTACTTAGGATTGAATATTAGGATTAATCTACGTTTTAGATATCACTCCTAGGTTTCTTCTTATAATTAAACTTGTGATTGTTTAAGTGTTTGTTCAGAGCTTGAATAAATCTATTTGTTATTATGGCGTTTGTTGGTGATGTTTCGTTTCCCCCCACACCTAGAGACGCGCTGGACAGAGGGAGAGGGTTCCCAGTTAGGACCCCTCCCAACATACTCTACATGCATATGTAAAATATATGATTGAAAGATTTCACTTCTGTATAAACGTAATTGTTTTTTATTGTACAGACCATCTTTTGGGCTTTAGTTTTCAAAAGGGTTTTCCATAAAATTTACATAGACAGTTGGTATGCGATAGCTTTTGTAGTTGCCTCTCAAACTCGTTATATACATGAAAATACATAAATTTCATGCTTAAAAACATAAAAAGTATTGTTATAAAAGTATTAAAACATTACAAATTATTTGACTAGTTTAGAGAAACTTTAAGATCTGATACTCTTAGAAAAACTGTTTGCATGTGAATATACAAAATCTTAATGAAAAATTTCCAAATATTGTATAGTCTCATATTCCCAAATGTACATCAATACATTAATTGTACATTTTCACAGTATATTTATGAATATTTATCGTTAGCTTTGATATTTGTAATGCATCAACGCTAAAAATTCTTCATAAATTGTTAAAGATTTCGAGGAAATGGATGTAAATGCCACAAAATATGTCATTTCACAAAAACTGAAAAATGCTATGCATGTTTTTTTCTGGGCACTTTGAGTAAAATAGAAAACACAAGTCTTAAAATAAATATAGAAGAAGTTAATGTTTAATAAAATGTGAAAAATACAAGTGGTTCATAATTTGTGTGATAAAGTGACATTTCATATTAAAAATGCATTTTTCTCAAAATGATGTTTTTCAAACTGCGTGTACATTTTTCTCAGAATCTACTGAATGGATGCACATGCAATTTTTACTGAACATAACTAATATGTAACTATATATACTGAAGTAAGTTTTTATAAATACCCCCAAAATGTTTTGTTCAAGAGTAGTTATCATAAAAAATGACAATTTTTAAGAAATTCATTGTGGTACTTTTACGTTGCATACTTTTGAAAAAAACTGAATACTATATCTTAAAAAGCTCTTTTCTGTTTAAATATAAAAGTCTAATTAATATACAGATGAAATTTGAAGTCTATCCATTAAACAGTTTGTGAGAAAAAGGTACATAAAAAGCTCAATTTAACATTAGCGATATAGGGGGTACCGACTATTCCCAGCATTAAGGGAAGGAATTCCAAATAGAATTTTGAGCAAATAACTTCAAAATTAATGCCATCACATATTGCTTTAAAGATGAAATGCTTGACATATGATTTGAATAACCTTTCGAATCATATTGAAGAATGTATAAATATCTAGCACTGCTGATTTAGAACAACCAACATTAAGTTGTCAATTGTAGTGGGAATAATATTTAAATCCATCCACACAATTTAAAATTTAATTTTATTTTTTATTAATTCTTCAAACATTTGAGGTTAATATATTCTAAAATTGAAAATGTTTAAATTGGAAATAAATATTTGATGGTCTTATATAAGATTTCATTGGTTGAAAACAAAATTTGAGTTGCTCGTCTAAGCACAAAAACTGTCTTAAATAACATTGAACAGAAGGCTTTTAGTGGAGACCGAACTCCCTTGTTCAATAAAAAAAGTTTCAAGAATTCCTATAAAAGTCTTTACATTTAAGAGGACCAGAATTGCGTTTTAAAATTTCTGAATTCGGATTGGGAAGTTCAAAGGATTCTAGTAACTCAGTAGGATAGACAAAAACTATTTATTCTTTGTCCGGAATTCGGATAGATAGCTCTTTTATTTATTGTCGTCAGTGAATCAATATTACTTGTCCCCATTCATTAATGATGTAATTGGTGGCAGCCTATGGAGGAGCAAAGCAAGATTATATGTTTGCATTGAACAAATAAATGAAAGATAAGACGAAGAGCATCGTCAACGACTAATATTTGGATAAAAATATATGCAAATCACAAGTTTCAAGTGGTCAAACATGGTTATTGTTATTTATTATAAATCAAGAACACTATCTAAAAGGCAGCATGCATTAATTGTAATAAAAATAACGTAAATGAATAGTGACTACATAGACACAGCAAATACACTGTTAAAAATAATTCAAATGTATTGCTAAATATGAATCGACATTATTTCAAAAGGAATTTACAGCATTATATTAAAAATAAATTACAACATTAACTTATCTCAGAAATTTGTCTAAAACAAATCACAAATACGTCTAGCTATGATTACCTTCTACCACTAATAGCTCCAAACATAAAAAGTTATATATATTGGAATATCCGGAACTTAAAAACACTACAAAACTAACATTAACGTAAGCTAAACACAGTTCGAAGCAGAAAACTTAAAGACATTAAGCTTAGAAATCATTAATAAAAAACATAAATCAATTTATAATTTCAGAAAAAAAAGGAATCATAATAATAACGATACATATTATTCATAATACTCGTACATACGTCAACGACCATAATATGCTGAAAACATTAGTTCTCGTTGGATCAATGACGTTAAGCGTTATCGGTAGCGGTTACTACTTGGGACGATGACCACCTGGGAACACCGTGTGTCGTTGGCATTTTAAAGAAGCCCAGTGGCTGAGTGGTAACGAATCGCGTTTCATTCCATAGATCCGGGGTTCAAAGTCCGTGCTGAACAAGGTTGACTCGGTTTTTCATCCTTTCTGAGAGTCGATAAAAAGTTCAAAGCTTGCTTGTGAATTAAATACTGGGTTTTTTGTTTCAGATTGACCACCTGACAGAGATATATGCTCATGCACATCATTGTCCTAGGTCACATGTACTGAGATGGGTTATGTTGGCCTTGACCCTCATGGGCTGCTGTGCCACTGAGTTTAGTTTAGTATTAATACATACTCTAATATTGCATATATTAAAACTAACAAACGTATAATTTCTAACATGTTTTAAATAATAGCACAAATTATAACCCTTGTGATATTTCAATTAATATAATTTAGCGAAGAAAATGTCTGAAACAGATTAATATAATGAACAGATGTATTAAGAGATGTTGGGCTTAACGAGCATGAAGAGTACAATTGGGTACAACTCTCAAACAGAAATTACTGTATAGCATTAACTTAAACCATAAGATGTGTAAAACAGGTAAAGAAAACACACAATTCTGATTAGGATTTTTGAAAAAGATAAAACAGGCTTAGATTTGACATAATTAGACAAAAGTAGGATTATAAATTCACAGTGTTGCTATAATTTAACTGCTGAAAGAATACATTAAATGCAAATAAACAATTTGTAAAACTACAATCAGTCTTTGATTAACCGTAATTAAAGCTCACCAAATTCTACGAGTCTAGGAGCAATCATTTTCAAGCTACATTCCACATGGAAGTATACACATACAGAGAAGAGAGAAAAACGTATTACTCTCTCTCTCTATACTTAAATATTATAGATTTACTCTCTACTTTTTCAGTCAAAAATCTGAATTTTCTTATTTCGATTTGTAATGAATCCTTATCTCATTTTGTTTAGCTTTTTTTTTAAATTCCCTTAAATAACAATTTTTTTTCTGTTATACACTACTATCAGAAATAAATTCGCTGTGTAAATATAAAGTGCATATATTCGAATGCATTCACGAAATAGTAATTTCGGATCAGAAAGGCAAACCAAACAAAATATTTAGTTAGTAAATCAAAGGAACCTGAAACATAATCCAAGTTACAATATATGTACTTATTTAAACTGATAATTGTAACAATTATCTGGATTTACAGACTACACTACTTTCCGTCGAAATCCTCTTTTTCTGAGGAAGTGTGGTAAATTCCTTTCATATAACGGGGATCATCATTAAATTTCCACTGTTTGCATTTTCAAAATTTTAATTTATTACGTTTATTTGCTTAGCTGTTAATATTTTCTTTAAATAGTCAAGTATTATATATAGCAAAAACGCATGTACTTATATGATATATATATGAGGAAGACTTGGTTTCTTAGATCTATTATCCCCAGTCTGTAAAAATAGAGGGCATGTAAATTGCTTTTAAAATTGCGCAGTGCATATGTAAAGCACTCAAGTTACAATATATTTATTGTAAATTGAATAAAATTATGATCTTAACGCTATAACATTAAAATTTATGAAAATGAATTGTTTCAGAAATGCATGACATATGGCAAAACACTAATTTTTTTAGGATCTGAGAAGTAGGCGGAGGATCCCAACTATCAAGATCAAACAATTTTGTCATGGATTGCAAGCATTAAGGTCAGGTGTGTATTTTTCAATAATGGAGATGGACAAGTTTTGCAGAATTATCACTATCATCGAATATTATTGAATAATAGTTATTCTAATTTTTATGGTAGGTGTTTTGCTCCCTGTTTTGAGATCAGAATTTCTCGTGGACCATAAGAATGTGCCTTATAATTAAGTTCTGTGCACCATCTAAATAACTTATGAGTATTTTTGCTGTTGCCCCTCAAATGAGTGGCGTAGGTAATTTCAGATTTTATTTTCGCTGTGTGGATAAGGGTTTTATGTCTACATAATTTAGACTTGTGAGAGATAAAGAGGGGGATATTTTGCAAGATAGCATTATTTTTTTCCGTCTTGTATCAATTGAAAGTAAGATTAACAGATTTAAAACTAACCAACTCCAAGCGAACTTGCTGAAAAAGAAAGGGATTCTATTTCTTGTAATAAAAATGCCAGGAAATTTATTTATTCATGCAAAAGGAATTGTTTTGGTTTTAAAATCTCTTATGGGCACATTACATTCGGCACATGAATTATCAATGAGAACTGTGTAATTTTTTAGTACATGAGATATGAAAGTTGGTTCTTTGTGTTGGAAAATCACTATGATATAAACGCAAATGTAAATTTCAGTATTGCTTGCAGTGTAGAGGTTGTTGACAAATAAATTAAAAAAGTGTAGGCCGAGCAGAGAAATCTGGGACACACTTCCATCTTTATAGATCGGTTCTTAAAAATGTGTTATTTTCTTTGACACAGAAAGTTTTATCAATAACTTACAGATCTATCATTGGTATTACTAAGGTTATATGAATAGCAAAATAATTGACAAGACGAACTGAAATTGTATTTATTACTTAATAGAACCTACTATCTAACAATAAAATTAATACTCCTTCACACAAAGAATATTTAGATATCACACAAATTTACACCAGATATAATTAACATTGTTAGACAAAAATGAGAAAATAACGATTCCGATGTACATACTTATATTTTTCTGAAATCTTGGAAGACTTGAAAATATTAACTAACTGGATAACATAGGGAATTAAAAAGAATTTCAAGTCGCAATTTCAAAAATGATTTAAATAATTTTGATTACTATAGTTATATAAATGAATTGTAATGAAGCATAATGAGAATTTACTACTATTCCTATAAAAATAAAACTGAAAAATCATTATCGTGAATTTCAGAATATCTCGAATAGCACCAAATCAGAAATTCACCTAAATGTTACTATACTTTCCTTACATTAGTGTTTTATTCATTAGGAATGATATTTAATTCATTAACTTTTTTTTTTCAAATGATGATCTTATAAAAACTTAATATATTTAAGCTCTAAGAAAAACTACACAATTTCAAAATAATTTTGTTTCTTTTCTTAAAATATTTCAATTGATTTTTCTATACTTAAAATCCAGACATATTTATTCATTTTCATTTATTTTTATATTTTCTTCAATTCTAAGGTAATTTTGTTTAAAAAATGTAAGAGTGGTGTTTAATTAAAATTGTATTCGGAAAATGATTTATTTTTCTTTCATTTTTTGCATTTAATTTAATTTTGATCATTGCACAAAAGCTAAATTAAATTTTTTATTACATTTCGCCACATACTATATATTTTCCCCTAGACGTAATAGAATACTTGATGAAGATTAAATTAAAGATTGTAATAACTAAGGAACTTTGAACATCGATTTCATGATAAAGATAATAAATTTATATGCATAAGTTTTCCGAATAATCATATTACTAATTGAAAAATATATAAAATTTAATTATTATTGTAAAGATATAGCATAAATAATTGATCCGTTTTGAAAAGTCTGTATTTTCAAAAGTATCTTAATGGAAGGGGTAATGGGTCTATCCATGAAACTCCTATTAATACTTTTGTGAAAAACTATTTCATTTAAATATTGTTCTATTGAAAACTTTATCCCGAAGAAGAAGAAACGGTTTATGTAAATGAAGGATGATATTTAAGCATTAACTTTTAGGTATGTGAGGTTAGTGGTTAGAAGTTAGAAGTTAGCGATTAACGGAAAGTAGCTGTGAGCTTGGGGAGATTTGCTTGACGATTAATTGCTGAATATTTAAAGGCTATTAATCAACGATTTATTCAATAAGTTGGATTATATTATTATTAGACTAGAAGTAGAATAGCTGAAAACGGAATTACGATAATCCAGAGTGTATAATGCCAAAATTTCCTAAGAGTAAGAAATTTGAAGCATAATTAAATATTAATTATATCTTGTACATGCTTGTGATAAGATACGTAATTAAATGTGCATTTCCTAACCTATGTGGTCAGAATTCATTAATAGAATAATAAAAGAGTTTTTTTTTCCGATTATGGCTGATTTTTATTCTAGTGCCCAAACACCGATGGATGTGAAAGTACGACCATCACAAGGGTTTGCAAAATTATTTCTCGCTGCCGGGCTTTATTGCTAGTATTCTGGGATGTATGGAATTATCTGTCTGTGAGCATGCAGTTTATAAAAAATATAAAATTTTATAGAATTTTATTAAATATTCAGTAAGTTTTAAGATAATACATAATAAAAATCACCATATAGACATTGGTAAGCGGGGAAATGTTTTTGAAAATCAAATTTGGTATTATACTAAAAAGAAATTTGGTAATCACAGAAATTTTCACCAACCTACAACCATGTTGTAGACTGTTTGGCTTACAATAGTAAAATCATGATTACCTACACTGCCTTGACGGTTTTATATTTCTTTGATTATGGTATTAAAATCAAGAAGCATTATTTTTAAGCGGAGCTAATAAGAAGAATATTATGTCTATAGATGAAAGTTTCATTTTAAAATCACTGATCTTCTAGTATAATCTGGTCGTTATGTTTTCAGTAAATAGTTACACATAAAGAAATAATTTCTAATCCTTCTTGACGTCATTTTTGCATTGTTTTAAGGTTACATATTTGAACCTTTGAGTTCATAAATTGATTTAAGTATTTCTATCTTACAGAAATCATCATTTTTATATGTCTCTACTGATTTCCCTTCTTTTGTTTAAAATGTGCTTCAAAGACTTGCACTTTTCAAATGATCTTCTTAAATAATTTATTAAGAGCATTTTTTGTTCGATAAAACAATAAATAAATGAAAATAAAGATACGTATCAAGGTGTATTTTCGGGCATTGAATCGTTTTATATAGGACAAAATAGAAACTTAATAATAATAAAAATTTTAATTAAAAATTTTCTATCTATGTTGAATTTCCATTTCTTTTATCATCACACATTAACTTTATTTCAAGGATTTTATTCC